ATGCTTTTAGAAATAAAAATGAAAGAAAAAATATATATCGAAATTGGTGAATGAAAATTCTATGAATAATTTTAATTTGCACATATTCATAAAAGTTTGTAATTTAGATATTTAGATTTGATTATAAAGGATTAAGAGAATTTATTTGCATTTTTGTAAAAATGATTCAGTGTGTGTGTGTGGAATGTATAATATTTAATCTCTACTCAAAAATAAATTTAATTTTATAATTTCAACTAGTAAAGAGCATATTGCGAATTTTTTTTATTATCTCGACTCGCACTCATCTGAAATTTAATAGAATATTTGACATGTTGCAGTCGTACACATAACATTAGTAGATCAAACAGAATATTTATTTCCGGTGATATGGACTTTGATTCTCAACCCACGTTATCCTCTTCGTTGATAATTTATTAAATGAATTCTAATTATAGATCTTTTCTTTAGGATGGTCTTTTTATAAGCGAGAACTTAATCCCTCTCTTCGTCTTAGCTTCTTCTCGACCTTATCTCGGCCCAACTTCGCTTTATTTTGATCACTTTTTCTGTTCGAAAGCATTCGTCTCTAGTTCTGCTAGTGACTTCGCATTAATGGTTCAACATGTAAAATACGTGTATCCTACTAAAGTGGCATTAAGATGATTGATAAAATAATTCGCAATTTACTAAAACCCCGACATTGAAAAAAGTTATAAGTGTCCGTTTTATAATAACGACTAACAGAAGAAGAAATTTATTTACTTTAACCTACAAAAAGGGACTTTGTTTACAGTTTTATTTAGGCTCGATTCCACCAAAGATAACTTTAATCTCGGTTTAACTACTGTTTACTTTTCTGTAATTCTTACAATTAGATAAAGGTAAAGAATGAATTGAACCAAGATGAAAGTTAATCTTACATTGGTGGGGAACTGGGCCTTTGCCACACGTATCCCATCCATGTGTTATACTTCTTGGCTAACTGAAAATCCGATATCAAAATGTTACTATTACTTAAAGTTTAAACCTATCTTTCTTATCTTATATGTATATCACAGTCAGACAATGGAAGTAACATCGTTACTTTTATCGTTACTTTGTTATAATAACGTTGTGAATTTTTTATGACCGTAACGATAACATCAGAGTTGAAAAAGTCATTCGTTACTGAAAAAAAAGTAACTCCAATCTTAGCGTTTAGTTAGTTACTGTAAAAAATTGCAATGTTATTACTAGAAGTGAGCAAAATACTCAAAAAATTATATTTAAATACAAAATACGAAATACTCTCAAATACGAATACAAAATACTTTCAAAAATTGTATTTAAATACGTATTTTAAATACATATTGCATTCAAATACTGCCCACTCTTGGCTGAGACACAACGCTAGAGGTGCATTCCGTTTCACGCATGATGCAACATTCATCCTTGTTGTTCACCAAATGTAAACAAGGATAAATGATGCATTATGTACATTATGCGTGAAATGGAACGCGATTGAGTCAACAATGGTGCGATTTTAACTTTCATTAAAAAAATTTTTACATAATTTAAATGTATTTAGTATTTACAAATTTAAAATACAAAATACTAAAAAAAAGGTATTTAAATGCAAAATACTAAAAAAAAAGTATTGAATGCAAAATACAAAATACAAAAATGTATTTACATACATATTTTAAATTCATGTATTTTAAATACTGCCTACCCCTGGTTATTATCAAATCATTATTATAAAAAGTAACGACAAAAGTAACTTTCTTCTATCTCTTTTCACAATCTTTTTTATTCTATTATCTTTACGCTAATCTACATTAATATTATAAATTTTACTATAGGGACTGATTTTATGTAATTCTACAAAAGACTCACTCTCCATGGAGTGACTCGCGCGTTCATCAGAAGATTAACGTACCGTCGATATTCCGTCGATTGTTCCACATTCGTGCGTTCTACAGACGCTGTCAGTCCTATGTAGATGTCCATCGATGATTGACTCATGTGTCATCGCCATGGTGATAGTAACGGTAGAGGCATCAGGCCTTTACAACGTTTGATGCGTGGCACATGACGGGACGCGGAAAGGTAACAAGGATTTAATCGAGTCGGGGATGTGTATTAACGTGTGTATGTTTGTGTATGGGTGCGTCCGCGTAATACCTTGTGGCGAAGAGACTAAAACCGGAAACCCGCAATTAGTTACCTCAATTTCCGTTTCGTTTAATTGTGCCGCTACAACGGACGCGGCCGATATATGTATATATATGAATGAAGCGAACGCAAAGGAAGACATTGCCGAATGAATTCTGAATTACTGCTAAATTACGTGTGGGATATCGCTGCAATAGAGCTCGTACTGGATATTTGAAACGGAAAACAATTTTCATAAACAGTACACTGAGAGAAAAATGTTTGGTATTTGTAATTATAATTACATATTACTATATAATTATGATTATTACCTACTGCTATAATATTAGTATAATAATAATCATATGTACAGTTCTAGCAACAAATGTATATAATTGACGACTTGAAATAACTATAATTATAACTATTAATTTCAACAATTGTTATGATTATAATAATTATAATTATAATTATAATTTTAGGTTGCCAATTATATGTGTATGTTGTTAAAACATATAGTCATTATTACTAATATTATAGCAATAATAATTATAATAATTTGTAATTATGGTTACAAATACCAAACATTTTTCTCTCAATGTATTCATCTCTATATGGCATTTGCTGAAAGATCTAAAATTTGGATGGATACAGATTTGAAAATAATTTTGTAAGACTCAAAATAATATCGGAAACTAAAAAACACTGCAAAAGATTTTAATATTCTATATATCTACTGATTTGAATTTCTCCAACAAGATTATTTTGATGGTCCAACAAAATTATTTTTAGATCTATATCCAGCAAAATTTTAGATCTTTCAGCAAAATTGGCCTTTCCATGTAAATATAGAAAATAAAAATACGAATGAATATTGTAAATGACAAGTAAATTAAGTCATTTTTAAACAAATCTAAAAAAGTGTAAAGTAAACTTATTTAATTACATTTAAAAATCTAATTAAGTTAAAAATCTCCGCGAACATGTTTCAGCCAAAGCCCGCTCAGTTATTAAAATTAATGCGTTATTTAAATTATATTAAAATTAATCGTTCATGGATAATATCGATGCATAGTTCTTCTTTTATTATTATTTTTGAGAGCGTATTAAAATTTGAACCTCTTGTGATATTCAAGATACAATTATATCGCGAAAAAATAAAAAAGTGTTCCAATAATATTTCCTGATTGGTCAATTAATTGATGCGCGGTGGGGCAGAAGTAGTATCGACCGTTTGGAACCATAGTGATCAGGACTCGCCTTCGAAAACGAACGGCACCTCCATTATAATCGAGCGAGGAAAGGACGACAAAACCTCCATTGCACAATGGCCCCCGTGGTAAGCTCTATATAGGGAATCCGTTGGAGTTCGAAGGAGAACTCGTCTCCTCAGGAAGTCAGAAGAGACGGGAAAGCGATAACAAACCGTCCGTTCAATGGTGGCGGCTGGGACAAGACTCTGAGAACGCCATCGTCGAAATAGAGGATATCTCGAGAGTCGATGTGCAATGGACTCCGCGCCGCGTTCATACCCGGCCGCAGCCGTCGGCTCGACGTATACGTGGTGGAACACGAGAACTCGAATACGCTCGAACGTAATTTTCAAGTCGATTCCATCAGCGAAACTTTCATCGAAGAGACTATCATTTATCGGAGCTTGCGCACACAATTTGACATTTCTTCGGTTAAGTCTGATTGTGAGATGAAATCTCCGTTAGGCCAAGACGAAATTGACTGAAAAGTGAGATCTTATTACATCTCTGTCACTTGAAACCCGATCGAATGAAATCCTTCGAACCTTAATGTTATTCCTAATGCTAAATCGTTTTTCGATTAGACTAACGAATCTATTGGTATCTCTATCGGAGAGAGGATCGACTGTAAACTTTGACGAGGGTTGTGTATACACAATTTCCACGTTTAACGATACACCCTATACAATCAGCCGTACTCTGGCATTTGTACTCGGCAAAAGAAGATTCGGTCGAGAACAAATGCCGTTTAATGCTTTCAAGCGCACTAGTCTCGAAGTGAGCTTTGACTTTTAGATACGCGAGAGCACAAGTGGGATTAAATCTCTGTCGATAATCGGAGCCTGTAATAGTGGAAAATGCAGAGAGCCATGTATTTCTATCGGAGCGCATGTATTTTTCGTATTGTTTAAAAGCGATAAAAAGATTTTTATTATTAATCATTAATATAATATTATTTTTATTAAATTTCTAATATAAACTAAATGCCTAATTAAAATATATCAAGCAGGAAACACTTGGAAAAAAGAAATTGAAGTGTCTGTTAAATGTTTCTATTACGATGTCTATTAGAGATTTGTTTGGCTTCCTCTGATAAATAAAAGAGTATTGGTAGGTAAAAGAGAGTGTAGAATAGAATTGAATTGGCAATTTAAAAGGTGAACAACTAAAACAGAATTAAAAGAAAAAACTACGTAAAAAAACATCACTTTGTTACAAAAGATGCGAGTTTTTTAGATAATAATTTTTAATAATGTTTAAACTTAAAGTTTTGAACAGCTTTTAGATATAAGTGGTAGTATAAATTTATGTCAAACTATTAATAATTTTTAAATTTATATCGCAAACCATCTCGATAATTTTTCATTACAGAAAAGCTCTAAATAAGATAAAAAAATAAGCTGAGAGAGTGTGTCAAATAAGATAAAATTAATATTATGAATTAGTGGTACATTTGATTTTCTGTTTAAAGTAAATGCTTTCGTAATAAATTAGCAAATAAACTTCCTTTCATCAAAAGTAAATACTTATAAAAGAAACTTTATCTCTATTCTTTATTGATTTATTATCATATTCACAATTAAAAAATATTAATTTATACAATTTCTTTATAAAGACAAAACATAATGCGGAATGTAGATAAATTTTTCGGCGGACAGATTTTTCGTTCTCCGATGGATCAAGCATTTTAGAGTTGCAGTACTCTTTAATGATATTATTATATTTTCAGCTCAAGCTTTAGCATTTGTATAAAGACTTTAATGGCAGATAGACTTCTTAGCAATCTCGGTCTTGGCATTCGAGCTTTGTGAGGAGAACAAAGGATAAATGTATATCGAGTAATGTTCCCGAAACGGCATTCTTCAAATTCTAAATAAATTTATCCGACCTCTGCTATTGTTGTTTTACGTACTTTATTATTTGTTTATATGTGTGCGTGCGTGCGTGTGTGTGGTGTGTGTGTGTATGTGTACGTACGTACGTACGTATATATGTATGTATGATATATTCTTACAAATCCACAGAAAATTGCTAATTGCAAATATCGAGCTAAAAATTACACGCGTATAATGTTACCGTAGCAAGTGGTATATTGATTACACGTTATCAATATTACGTAATCAATAGTAAGGTACTCGTTAGTGGAAATAAGCGAGAAATAATGAATTGGATGCAAGCTCGTTAATTCTCTATTATCGACATCGCCTCGTCACAAATAACCGCCTTCCCTTCGTGACAGCAAATGGGCTCGGTGCTCTCCAAACCAGTGGATGTCCAAAGAGCCATATTACACAATTTCATATATACAGCCACCTGTGGAAAAGCAAAAAGCTGAAATAACAAAACACGTTGTTTTATTGCTACGGAAATTATCATCTAAAAAAAATATCAAGAGAGCGAAATAGTCAAAGTGATACAATCATATTTTATTCGGGAAAATAAATTTTTATTACTTCCGTTCGAAACTCTAGTCGCTTTTATGTATTACGTGCTTACTTTTCCGTGTTACATGAAGACGAAAATTAAAGACAGAGTTTAGGAGACAATTTTCTAGATTGTTAAATCAGGATTAATCTTACATATACATAATATAAAATGTTTTATAATAAAATATGTATTGAATGTATTACCTTCAAATTTTCGACATGGGTATTCAGCTTCTCGCAAATCAGCATTGGTGCTTTATCTCGAACACTTTTAGCCTATATAAGCATAGAAAATCAATTTTAATATTATTTTTTATTTTCATTATTTCTTTATTTTTTTCAATTAACCACTATAAAATATACATTATATCTATTCTTTTTAACTAAAGTTCTTGCATGTTTCATCTTTCTTCCTTTTCTCTCCACGTTGGAGAGGAAAAGAGAAAAAAGTGCAAGAAGTTCAGCTAAAAAAAAACAGGCCTGTTGTTTGAAAGTACAATATATTATTGCCGGTCTAAAATTATTTACACTCGTATATTCCTGATTGAAAAATAACATTTTTCCTAATTAAAGAAGAAATCATGTAACAGCAGAAATATCTAAGAAATAATGCGAACGAATTCTCGTTATGAGTACTCACCAAGGCGATACATAATTGTTGACACTTTTCTGCGCCTTCTTGATTGCAACTCACATTGAATTGCAACCTATGTTCTATTATCGACTTCGTTCCCGGAACTGGAAACACTGCGCAACTGCATGCATCCCCCGCGATTTCCTCTTGCCTGGTAAGGTACAATTTCTTTTAAAATGCAATATTGCAATAATTGTGAGATCGATTGCGAGACTAAAATATTACATTTCGAAGAAAATTACATTTATGTGAACTAATTTGACATTAATTATTTCAAAGAGAAAAGAGCGTATACTTAGACTAGTAACTTTGTAATAAAGAATGATCAAGTGAGATTATAATTTCATTTGTCCATATATTATTGTGATCAATTGCATTACATTAATGCATCTATTTTGAACTTTTGAATATAATTATATTATAATTTAATTATATAAAAACTTTGAAATACAATTATAATTTAATCTTTTCATCAATGCATATTTTTTCCATTTTTTCACTAGCATGCTAAAAATGTAAAAGTGAAAACAAGATAAAATCTGCAAAACTGTTTTTTTGTTGTTCGAAGGGTGAGATTTTTGAGACGTCATAACGAAAAATTCGCACAAGAATATAAAAACGTTTACTGTTTAAAAGTCGATACAGCACCGGGATACATCGACAGAAGAATAATTGTATAATTAGTATATAATTAATTAATATATAATATATAATTATGTATATATATTATATATTATATATATTTATATATATTATACAATTTCATTATAATTACAATATAACCATAATTAAAATTAGAACTTAATACATTCAGAAATTTGCAATTAGTTTTTTGCAAGCCAAATATACTTAAATATTCGTGACGTCACTATCTTACGTCGTAAGAGGCAAGAGTGCCATCAGGAGAAGGAATCGTCCCATTGTCTTCATTGCACACCTCAATTTACACCTCGCGTTCGAGATCGTTACGAATAAACCGCGATTATCACGGACGATCGAGCTGCACGCGGCATATGTAGACTCGCGTAATCACTCCGCTTACCCTCTCTCCTCGTACATACATATATATGTAAGTACGCACGGTGGAATGCATGCGTAATCATGCGATACCATTGTTAGTCGCAGGCGTCCTCTTCGCAATGGTTCGAATTTTACGTCGATATCCAAGCGCGGCGTTCCTATACAAAGATAATAACTGTCGCGATGCAACCCGAGAATACCATCGTCGAACGCATGCATTCGCCGGCGTTCGTTTCGTCGGCATAACGTTATCAGCCACGAAAAATATACGCGGAATTCCTATTAATACGAGAACGATGTTGTTTTGATATTTATTGATTCTTTTTTTTCTCCTGTTACGTCTGCTTTCAAAACTGCATATTTACTTGCATCTTTCGACTCCTTATTCTCCGAAAGGTTCCTTAACTCTCGAACTACTTGCTTCTCGAAAAATTTTCCCTAGGAGATTTTCCTGCAAACTGTACGTGTCCTCGAAATTTATTGATAAAATATAAATATGATATAAGATACGAAATAAGTGAAATAACATCTGGAAACAGAAAATGATACGCTATTCTGTGAAAGGTTCCTTGATCTTGGATCGTTCCCCTTTCGATTTTTCTCTCTAACTTTAGAACTACTTACTTCTCGAACAAGTTTTCCCTGGGAGATTTTCCGACAAATTGTGGTCTCAAAATATAGATAGATAAAATACAAATACGATATAAATAAATGAAATAATATCTAAAAATAGAAACAGAAAATAATGCTAGGAATACTCATATTATACAAGTGGTGTTTTTATACGTAACTAATTAGTATTTTATCACAGGCTTTTAATGTACATTAACGTTTTCAACCCAGTTTATCGTAAATTTTACAGAGAATATAAATAATATAAAATATAAATATATAAATTTACATCGATGAAAAGTGTTTATATAACAGCATAAAACATACGCTTATTTGCACATAATAATTTTCTCTCTGTACATATAGAGTTATGTGTGAGAAATTATACATTTGAATTAATATTAAAAATACAAAATTTTATAGTTTTAAAGCGATATACTTTTTGTATGCGAAATTTGGCTTCTGACAAAAAAGATTTGCACTGTTTCTTTTTTAGAAAAATGCATTTACAATCTTATTCCTAAAATCTTTTCATTTTTAACACAAGTATTCAAACATTTTAAAAAGACATTCCATCTCGCTGTTAGTCGATCTAATCTTTTTCGTGTTAAATAACAAAATATTAATTCTATCAAAGTAAACTTATTAAAATGTACAATAATAAGATTAGAATTTAATTATTAAGATATAATTATAAGTGCTCAAAATAGTGCAGATAAATTGCTTAATAAATTAATTACCAAATTTAATTAATTGAAGCTTAACCGAGAAGTCTCCCATTATATTATTAAATTATATTTCGCAACATTCCGGACGAGAATGCAATGCATAAGGAAAAAATAACAAATAATACATAATGAAATAATTAATATTACTAGTATTACTAAATTACCAAAATTAATATACTAATATTACTAAATTGTCAAAATTAGTATTACTTATACTACTATCTAATTATAACAATAAAATAATTGCGTTTTTTCTATTTTATCTTTTCAGTATTGGCCAAGAAATTCTATTGTTTTCTCTTTCCACGGTCGCGGTTCAGATGGTTCAGTAGTGCAACCACGTGATCGGCGTATCGCCGTCTGTGCAACATGTAGTCATTCTACTAGTCCGACATACGCTCGTTTGTACCAATTGTGGATTAACTTTAGGGCCTCTTTTACCAACCCCGATTAATGCTAATCGATGGTTAACTCAATCACGATTGCCAATGTGAGAGCTAACACAGAGGAGGAAGAGAGAGAGAGACATTCTGATACATTAAACTACTGTTGGCACTTCTGCGAGTTGATCGTAGATTAATTTAATCAGAAGTCGGTGAAAGAGCTCTTTTAATCTCGGTTTAACTTACTCTTTATCTTTTTCTAGTTCCAAGGATTAGAAAAAGAAGAAGAGTAAATTAAACCAATTGACCCACATTGAAATAGAAATAGTGTTCCTATAGAAACATTAGGGGTGCATTCGGGGAGACACTATCAGCGCTATTTATGTCATTCTATCTTCATTGTTTATTAGACGTAAAACAAAGTAGATGACACAAATAGCGCTGATAACCTAACCTAACGCGATTCTCGAATGCAGCCTAGGTAGAAACAGGCTATAGCCAGTTTAGTAGTAATATAGCCAGTCACGTGACAGGCTATATACAATTGCCGTCTGACGTGTCACGTGTCGTCTGTTCTACTGACACCGACATGGCGTCCGTCATCAAAGGTGCGGCATTCACGGTATCGTTCTAAAACGCATGAAAATGCTTGCACGTATACTTGAAGGACGATATACATAACGCACTTAACATTAGGCATTAGCACACTATCATTGAATCATACGCGTTTCCGCAGACACGGGCGAGATCTGGGGTAGATTGTTCGACCATCGTCCGTTCATCCAGGGGGAGGTCACGTTCTTCCTGCGAGAATTTCAGGTGAGCTCCTGCTGATCGCGGACTTGGCATGACAGCGACGTTACCTCGGCACCACCGTCATGCCGTTTAAATGAATTGGAATTTAAGTAGAGATATTCGGTCGAGATATAATTTAAATGCGTAAACATAACCTACAAGTTGTAAAGACTCAATTATAAACAAAAATGCTGATGAAAATTATGATTGCTCTTGTCTGCATGATAAAACGTTTTAATATTCTTTTTTAAAAAGCTTCTTTTAGTTGTCACAATTTATAAATCTTTAGAATTTATTTTTATCTTAATTTTAATCAGTATTTGTGGGCTCAGTGTGTATTTGCAAACTCAGATTTTTTTACATTGTAAAAAATTGTTATATTCGCAATCTTACATGATTTTACGTTGCATGATCTTATTCCTTGAATTTTGACCTTAAAGATGAAAAAGAATATTCACTTATGTAAATTTTAAATAAAAATATATTAATTTAAAGTATACTGGACCTAATAATTACCAATTAAGGAAATTTTCAGAGCAAATACCGATTAAAGTTAATTTAAATTTATATCATGACATCGGTATTGTCTGTATTTTAGAAATTATTGTATGTCAAACATTTAAATGTTATATTAATATATATATATATATATATATATATATATTTAAATGTACACAGTAATAATAAGTTTTCAATACAGAATGATTCTACAAGATTGCATCCATTATTAGGAAAAAAGATCTGACAGGGAGGTAGAACGTTTGTTTAAAATACTAGAATACACGACAGAATTGAAGGAGAGCCAGTTGGATCGCACTGAGCAACTTGGCGATTGTCATTTACCTAGCCTCAAGGCAAATGTCGATGTCGCCCTGAGTATGTGCAACCGTGTTTTACAGAGGGAGGAAAATTTCGATAGTGTACGTATGCCAGCTTTTGTATTTTTTATTTACTTCACGTAACAGAAAAAATGATAGATTCATATAAAAACTTTTTGTAGGATAACGTTTTGAGTGAGAACAGATTGCTTAGGAAAAAGGAGTGGGAGAAATTCATAAATGATATGAGCAATAAGTGTGAAAAGGTGGACCAGACTTTCCAGGAGAAGGAAAACGAAATACAGGAGTTCTATATTGACTTGGAAAAGAAATTGCACATTACACCATAACAATTAGTTTTTTAGCCTATCCGCATTACCTCCTAGAATATATTTCAGCATTTAATAAAGACCTAATTCCTTAAGATAGAGAGTATATTAAATTTATTTAGATATGTCACTAGAGTCGATTGTAGATCCTACTGTAACGATAAAACCATCTAAAAAATTGATAGACTTCATCTTGTACGATGTAAAAGACACAGATGGTGCACCGGATGGCATCAAATCCCTGCACAGCAAATCGAAAAAATTCAAAAAAGAGAAGATTGCAAATGCCACGTTAAAAATCGAGGATCTCAGATGGCTGAACAAGTATCTAAAAGAGAACAGAAAAACTACAACGGAAAAAATCTACCTGCACGAACTTTTTGATGATTCCGATGTGATATTACCGACGCCAAAGGAAACGCCACGAAATCCAGAATTGGAGGCCAGAATACAAAAATTAGCGGCGCAACAAAACAACAGAGAATATCAGGCAATGACGAAAAGTATCGATTCTTCACGGAAATTCCTACCGGAAGACAGTGTCGCGTATCAAAGTAAACAAAATATTTTTATATAATATTCTTATCTATAAAATGCCTGTAAAAGATAATTTAACGCAGGTTTCTAATATTATTTTATTTTGCAGTGAAGCAGATAAACAAGCAACTGATCGCCGTCGCGCAATTTATATTTTCTGTGATAGCTGGCTTCGCTTTTGGTTTTATTGGAGTAGAACTCATAGTCGGGGACCTAGACTTCGGGTTTAGATTACTCCTGGGTATAATTTGCGCGCTAATTATAGCGTTGGCCGAGATCTATTTTCTAGCTTTAAAATTAAACGAGTACGGTTTCGATGTCACATCCAAATCGACAAAATCACATCAAGACTAACGTTCCAACTTTTCCAGCTCAGTCGTTCCATTAATGAATATATATTATAGCAAAAATAGTTTTAAAATGCTAATAATATAAAGCAATACGCAAGCTACTTTTGCTAACTTTGTATTGTACAAAAATTTTTTAAATGTACATCGCTCGGCTATGAATATATAATACAACATTCTTAAAGACCAAATAAAACAAGATATTATGACATCATTGATTTATTATTATTAAAATAAAAATCAATTTTAATTTTAAAATATGATAAAACATGATTATAAATAAATATTAATGTAAGAAATATTAATCTGATTAAAATAATTGTGTACATGAATAATTAATATCATGAGATATATATGTACAAAAATATATGCGAAAAGATATGTGTAAAAAGATCTTAATAGTGTACTTTCATATTCGATTCTGAGCATATAAAAATAATATTTTTATCCAAGATAAATTCTCATG